CTTCAAATCCGACATATATGAAACCAAGCATATTATCTACCTCAGTTCTTTTACCCTGCATTCCTCATTTTCTCCTTCTCCTCTGTCCAGCCCATGTACTTATACAGTCACTATACCCTGCCAATTCTACCTCCTAAGCATCTCCTTGCTATGTCCCTTCCTTCATCCTCCCTTCTGATCTAATTATACCTTCATCATTTTTCATCTGGACTATTACAACAGCCTGTTAACTGGCTTCTCTGCTTTGTGAAAGGAAGAATCAACCTTCACATCAGAGTAATCTACAATGCTATTTTCATCTAGGCATAGGTCTTCCGCAGCTTAAAATCCCCAAGGACTTCCCACTGACTGGAATCTTAATTATTATGCAATTTACACTTTATCTATACTATCCATTATCTACCCTTGCTTCCTGTGAGAACAAGTGCTCCAGGTGGAACCAAATTACCTACCCAGGCTACCCACTCTGCTGGCAAGCCTTCCCCTTCCATGAAAGCCTACAAAATTCCTGGTCAATATTTAAGGCTTAGCTCATTTAGGTGATAGCACAGCAGTTAAGAGTGCCAGACCTGGAGCTAGACTGCCTGAGTCTGACTTCAGCTCATATTGGCTGTTACAACCTTGGGCAAGTTATTTAATCTCTCTGAACCTCAGATCTCCTTTCCAAACTAGAAAGTAGCAGCTACTAAACAGGGATTTGAGAATTGAGTGAGTATATGGAAAGTACCTGGCCCACAGTAAATGCTAAATCAGTATGCAGCTATCATTATGTCTTCACTACTTCCCCTTCTCCCAAAAGCAAACACTCCCTCCTTTGTACTTCTATGGTACTTTATCACAAGTCTGCCTCTACACTGTGATGGTCTTAGGATAGGAACTTTCTTTTTCCTTTGCCAACATTCATCTCCTTATTCTCTGCCAACATAATCGATGTCACATTTTTATTTTAAGTATCAATAAATGTGGAATATGCTCAAACTAAATGCTGTGCAGGTACCAAAGAATGCCAACATGTGGCCAAGTCTTCAAAGATAAATCAAATTTCAAGTGGAAAAAAAAAAAAGGTGAGAAAAAAAAAACAACACTCTGCCACATTAATAGGCATAGATAAAGCAGACATTAAAGTACCCTGGCAATGACAAGCAGACTAGAATATGTCTAGTGGGACAGAAATACTGAGAAATGAAGCCAGCCTGAAAATGTCATGAACGGTGTTTAATGCTAGCCCAAGGAGTTTGAACCTTACTGCAAGAAGAACTGGGTCCAGGTAAATGCTTTTGACTAGTGTCGTTACATGATTTAATCATTTAAAATCAGGAAACTTTAAATAAAGTCAAGCTGGACTGGAAGGTAGACAGAAAGGAGACATAGACTAATGACAGGTAAGAAATAGCAAGGACATTAAGGGGGGCCATACTCATTAAAGATGGGCTAAACATTTTTGAGATGAAATTAACTGGCCTTGGGGACACCTGGGTCAGTAAAGTGTCTGCCCTCAGCTCAGGTCATGATCCCAAGGCATTAGGATCCCTGCTCAGCGGGGAGCCTGCCTATCCCTCTGCCTGCTGCTCCCCCTGCTTGTGCTCTTTCTGAGACAAACAAATAAATAAAACCTTCAGAAAAAAAAAAAAAGAAATTAACTGGCCCAGTGACTATTCTGATATGGAGATGAAGGACAGGATTCAGAAGTTTCTTGCCTGCATGACTGGAAAATGATAATATGACAAAGATGAGAGATAAAGAGGGAGGAGGAAGGCTAGGAATCCAGAAGAGGTGTAGTTACTCCACCTGAAGTAATTCTGAAAACAGTAAACATATTATTTACAATTAAAAGCAAATGCTAAGCAAATTATGCCAACAATGTGTTGGCACTCACTGCTTTTATTTAACAAGCACATCTGAGCAAACTGTGTCCAGTTCAAAAGGCTCATTTGTTTACTAAATAATATGTTACTGTCCTTCGTTTTGGGGAAAAATGGCCTATTATGTAGAGGTATGGCTGAAGAGTGGCCAGTAATTTTAAATATTGTGTATTTCTTAAAGCCTGCTTTTTAAGTTTTCACAAGACAGTATTTTTTTTAAGGCAATAAGATTCTCTTCTGATCCAAAAATCATGGTGAAAATTTAAGGCTGCTTAAGAATGTATTTAAAAATATTAACTTTAATTTTGCTTACTTGTTGCTCTGTAGAATGCTTACATCATTTTTGAATCTGTGACTTATATCAAAATTTCTATTGAGGGGCACCTGGGTGGCTCAGTGGGTTAAAGCCTCTGCCTTCGTCTTGGGTCATGATCTCAGGGTCCTGGGATAGAGTTCTGCATAGGGCTCCCTGCTGGGCGGGGAGCCTGCTTCCCCCCTCTCTCTCTCTGCCTGCCTCTCTGCCTACTTGTGATCTCGTCAAATAGATAAATAAATAATCTTTTAAAAAAAATTTCCTATTGATACATGCACTTCATGCTTTTTCTCTCTCAAGAGTTTCTTAAAAGGCTGAACACAATAACCTAAAATAAAAGTACAATGTCTAAAAGTTCTAATTATGGCAATCTATTTCTATCAGAGCAAACACAATATAAGGAAATTTAAACAGGCCAGATATTTGTTCCTGAAATGATGGAACAGCAGGATAACTATGCAGTTGTAATCAAACTTCAGTGCTCAAAAGAATCTTCTTGGGTGCTTGTTGAAAAAGTAGTATATGATAATTACACAGGATTTAAAAAAAGAAGTAGTTATCTGTCCTTCTCCCTACTTTGGGAAATTCTGATTTACTAGGGTAGGGCCCAGGAACTTGTTTTATTTTCCAAACACCCCAGGTGATTCTGAAGCAAATGTTTCAAGACCACTATGAGAAATACTTGTACTGACTCTGGTATCAGAAACATGGTTTAGTTTAAAGTCCACCTCCCCCCTTCACTGGCTGTGTGACCTTACACCGCTTACTTAGTTTCCCCAAGGTTCAGATTTCTTATCTGTAAAAGGCGAATACTAAAAGTTTCATAAGGATGATGAGAGAATATAATGAAACAATGCTTATACAGTACTTAACACAGTGCCCACCTATAATTATTACTATGATTCACCCATTTCCACAGGACAAAAAATAAGGAAGAACTGGACATATATACATATTAACCATGACAACCTAAATGCTTTGTAATTCATGGTAATGTTTTTTTCATTTCCTTCTGGTAAGGCACGCTCTTTGTCTCTCTTTCCCTTTAATTTTGTAATACATGAAAAAAGTTTTTAAACATATTACATTACATGCTTCAAGTTTTATAAACAAATCTTACCAAAGGCATAAGGCAATGAAAGCAAATATTAACTAGAAAATACTCTGCTTTTCATAACAAAATAAATACTCAAAAAATTAATACTTTTATTGAACATTAGCCAGATTTTACAGAAGAGCAAATTGTTTGCTTTTTCTGGTAGACCATAAAAATTAGAGACGAAGTCATCTAAATAAAGAATGCCAACTGCTTTATATTTAGAAAAATCAGTTTAATTGTACTATAATCAATTCATCTCCTTTCATTACACAACTCTACTGTCTTTCCTATTTTAAAATCCAAAATGTAATTTTTCAAAGATTTTATTTATTTGACAGAGAGAGATCACAAGTAGGCAGAGAGGCAGGGAGAGGGGGAGAGAGAGAGAGAGAGAAAAGCAGGCTGCCTGCTGAGCAGAGAGCAGGGTCCAGGGCTGGATCCCAAGACCCCAGAGATCAAGACCCCAGGTGAAGGCAGAGGCTCAACCCACTGAGCCACCCAGGTGCACCACTAAAGTGTAATTTTTAAGTGGCCATCTAATGCTACTGTCTTATCCCAGAACATATAGATACACATCTACAGTTTTTTAAAACTCACTAGAAACTAAACTTTTTAGAAATAACCAGAAATCCTATATGATGCTTTCACACACTAAATTCTAAATGATGCTTTTGTGTAAACTGAGAAATTTATTAAAACATCATTTATAAAAGTAAGCAGCCCCCTCTGTTATCCTTCTTACCATCTGAAAACTTTTAAAGCTCGCCAGTTAATACTAACTACCTCATCTTTTATTTAAAAAACAGTAACATCCTACAAGAATATTTTGTCACCTGCCAAAAATCGACTAACTGATGTGTCTCTCACATTACCTAACATGAATAAGTAAAGGCAAAATGGAAAACTGAAGTGCAGGCTGTTAAATGTGATGGACCCAACGAACCTTGCTGAGCTGCAATCACCATATATCAATATTTTTCAAGCGCTTACTTGTACAACGTACGCCCCCCCCCCCCCCCCCCCAGCTTCAGACAAAGCAAAAGAAGGGAGAGTACAGGAGGAAGGAATCAGAGCCTGGAGGCCCTTTCTTAAGTGGCAGGCAACTGGCCTCAAACCACCACCGAGGGAACTCCGCAAAAAAAATGTATGTTTTTGGATATTAAGAAACGTGAAAGCACCATGAGCTTCCAGCACTTTGCAAAATCTGGCAGGATACTGGAGAAGAGTTAAGGTTCGGCAACCGTAAAATTCCTTGCAAACGGGTAATCTACAAAAAGCCTGTACTGTATCTGTTTTAGAAGGTGAGAAAAGTGGGAGGCAACGGGTTCGACGTCCACAACGGGAGAAAACTGAGGGTGCCACCACAAAGGTCTGAGAATGGGTTTTCATTGCCCCTCAAAGCGTCGGGGGCTGGCGGGTAAGGATCCAGCTCCGGCCTCCACTTCCACTTCCCACCTGCGCCCCAAGCCGGGCGGGGGAGGAGGTCCAAGGGAGGGTCTGAGGCGGGGCGGGGGACAAGAAAGCTGCTGTGGGTCCCCAGGAAATCAGAACCGAGCTGCCCCGAGGGAGGAACGGCTGCAAGAGGGCGGGGCGCGGTGCAACGAGGAAACCGAAAGAGGACGCCGGGGAGAAGGTGCTGCGCGACTGGGGACCCTTCCTAGTACCACACCCAGGGGCCAAGGCGGGGGCGAAAGGGTCCCGTGAGCGAGAAGAAGGCAGAACTTACTCCGCGGTCCTCCTCCGAGAGGAAGTCGGGGCCGTCGTCCAGGCCTTCCTGCGGGGTCGCCGGACCCGGCGCACCAGGGGAGAAGATGGAGTTGGGGAGACACAAAGGGAGACATTAGTGCTAGGCCGGCGCGGACCCCGCGCCCGCCCCGCGCCCGCCGCGCGCCCGCCGCCCCCACCGCGCGCCCGGGGCTCGGCGCCGCTGGAACACCCACCATCATGGCTGCTCCGAGGCGAGGGCCAGCGCACGCGCGCACCGCACCGCGGGGCCGGAGGGAGCCGGCAGCAGCGGGAGAGGCGGGGCTGGTGGCGGCAGGAGAAGGCGGGGTCTCGGAGCAGCCTGCCCCGCCCCACCCTGGCGCGGGGGGCCGGGGGCGGTAAGCTGTAGGAATGGGGAAAGCAGGGCCCTCCGCCCGAGGTTGGAGCACCCCAGTCGGAAAGGGCCCGTAGGCCCAGACCCACATGGCTGCGGGCAGGTCGCGGCTGGCTGGCTCTGACCCGGAAGGGGCCGAATGCCACCTGGGGAGCTGTCCAGTTTCCTTTCCCTTAGGGCTGCAGCGGAAAAAAACAAACGAGCGTCCTCCGGAAGCCACAATAAATCGCCTAGTCTTTGTATTATGCCACACAATAATTAATCACAATTAATATTTTGCCTATAGAAATTGTGGGAACTAAGGGCCTTCGCACAGTGAGCTGTAATCAAGCTTTTACGATTGGTGAGGTAATAACCCCAGGGTTTAGGGTGCTAATGGTTAAGGACTATAAAAGTGAGCTGTTCGTGTTACAAGAGCATTTCTTTCCTTTTTATGAACGAGCGCCTCCAGACCTACTCTTAACTGTCCGGCCGGACAGCACCACATGGGTGTCCACAGGCAATTTAAAAGACGGGACAAAATCATTCCTCAACCTTTGCCCCCTGTCACCTTTTACGCACGCAGACACACGCGCAAACGTATATGCCATCCTTGTGCTTCCAGTCACTTAATGGCATCGGCATCCTTCCACTTTTCAGTCCAGAAACCTCCAAGTCCTATTCACATCCTTCCTTCTTCTCCCTCACTTGTCACTCCATTTAGTAACAGATTCTGTTGCATCTGTAATTTATTGTCTCATCTCTTAAATTAGTCCTGGTCCTCCCTCTCCTCCCTTCCACAGCAATTACCATCAGTTTCTGTCTGGACCCTTGCAATACTCTCTTAACTTTTCTTATTTTCATCTCTACATCCTGCCACCAGTAGTTTGTTTTCTATCTTTCTTTCTTTCAAGATTTTATTTATTTGACAGAGAGAGAGGAGCACAAGCAGGCAGAGCAGCAAGTAGAGAGAGAAGCAGCTCCCCGCTGAGTAGAGAGCCCAATGGTGGGGCTCCATCCCAGGACTCTGGGATCATGACCTGAGCTGAAGGCAGATGCTTAAGGGACTGAGCCACTCAGGTGCCCCTACAGTTTTACTCCTAAGACACAGACATCAATGATAAAGCTGCTAGCCTGTCCATGACCTTTACACATTTTTATTACATTAAGGTCCAACTCCTCTGCCTAGCATTTAAGCCCTCCACACTTGACTCTCTCCCTATTCTGCCAGGCCCTCTTCCTATCTTGTTGAATTGAAGCTCTTAAAACAATAATGTTAAACTATTAATAATTTCTTGAGAACTTCTTGTAGCTTTCATTTTGTATGTAAGGAGAACTGAGGCATAGAGAAGTTAAGTTACTGCCCAAACAAGGGTTATTCTCCACTTGGGTGGGGCGTGGCTTTATTTTTTGTCTTTTGTTTCTTGTTTTCCAGTGCATTGTAGTAACTACTGGAGGAGTGCCCCCCCTCCCCCCGGGAGTCATGAGGCATCATGCGGTGTCAGTATAGTGTGATGAAGTGTCAGGAGGAATGTTCTAGTAATTTGTTGCTGGTGAAAAGTGCCAATATTTCCTATTTTGTTTTTGTATTGAAGGTAATGCCTGTAGAGCTCTGCTTCCTAGATGAAGCTACAGTTAATGAATGGGATTTGCATACAGCTGATAGGAGGGTAAGTGTGTCCTATGGACAAAGGTTGAGAAGTGTCACCTAGGACCACCTAAATGTCTCTGATCATTAACCAAGGGTTTCAAGACTTAAGCCAAGACCGGAAACATTGTACAGAAACACTCAAATTATCAAATGTTAAACTTAGAAATCACTATTTAAAAACAAAATTTAAAATACCAGTAGCCAAGGGGCGCCTGGGTGGCTCAGCGGGTTAAAGCCTCTAGCTTCGACTCAGGTCATGATCCCAGGGTCCTGGGATCGAGCCTCGCATCGGGCTCTCTGCTCAGCGGGGAGCCTGCTTCCTTTCCTCTCTCTCTGCCTGCCTCTCTGCCTACTTGTGATCTCTTGTCTGTCAAATAAATAAATAAAATCTTTAAAAAAAATAAATAAAAATAAAATATGAGTAGCCAAATAAAATTATCAACAAAGACATTTAATAATTACTGCAGTTAAAATCAATGGCTTATGGGGCACCTGGGCGGCTCAGTGGGTTAAGCGTCTGCCTTTGGCTCAGGTCATGGTCTCAGAGTCCTGGATCAAGCCCTGCATTGGACTTTCTGCTCTGCGGGGAGCCTGCTTCCCCCTCTCTCTCTGCCTGCCTCTCTGTCTACTTGTGATCTCTCTCTATGTCAAATAAATAAAATCTTAAAAAAAAAAATCAATGGCTGAGGGCGCCTGGGTGGCTCAGTCATTAAGCGTCTGCCTTCGGCTCAGGTCCTGGAATTGAGCCCCACTTCGGGCTCCCTGCTCTGTGGAAAGCCTGCTCCTCCCTTTCCCACTCCCCCTGCTTGTGTTCCCTCTCTCATTGTGTCTCTCTCTGTCAAATAAATAAATAAAATCTTAAAAAAAAAAAAAAATCAATGGCTGAAAACTCACATGAGTAGAGAACCCAACCTTGAAATAATAAAGTTATTCATTAATACCTGAGCCTATCTATCTGGGTAAAGGTCTCAAACTATACTGGTCTGGGTAAAGGTCTCAAACTATACTTTGTAAATGATAAGAAGGAATTATCAGTAACAGATACTAACAACTATCAGAAAGGCAGTTACGGGGTGTCTGGGTGGCTCAGTGGGTTAAGCCTCTGCCTTTGGCTCGGGTCATGATCCCAGGGTCATGGGATTGAGCCCCACATCAGGCTCTCTACTCTGCGGGGAGCCTGCTTCCTCCTCTCTCTCTGCCTGCCTCTCTGCCTACTTGTGAGCTCTGTCTGTCAAATAAATAAATAAAATCTTAAAAAGAAAAAAAAAGGCAGTTACAGAGTTTAAGGAATATCAAAGGAAAAGAGATTAAAATTAGCTCACACAACAGATTTTTTCTGCTACTTACAGAATAAATTGAGAAGATATTAAAACTGAACCACTTCTCTAGTACTTTTTTTTAAAGATTTATTTATTTATTTTAGAGAGAGAGAGAGACACACACACACACACACACACACACACACACAGCATGAATGGGAGGGGCAGAGGGAGAGGGAGAGAAAATCCCGAGAAAGCCCCACACCAAGCGTGGAGTCTGACATGGGGTTCGATCCCAGGACCCTGACTGAGATCATGACCCGAGCTAAAACCAAGAGTTAGTTGCTTAACCGACTGTGCCCTCCCCCGCCAGGAGTCCCTTCCCTAGTACTTTTAGCCAAATAATCAATTTTTCATCTTGTTTTAATAGATTTTTGTGAAATTACCTACTTCTATATAAATTTCACAAGCATATTGTGTTGAATCACAATCTGATTTTTTTTTTTTAAGATTTTGTTTATTTATTAGACAGAGATCACAAGTAGGCAGAGAGGCAGGCAGAGAGAGAGAGGAGAAAGCAGGCTCCCCGCCGAGCAGAAAGCCCGATTCAGGGCTTCTGAGATCATGACCTGAGCCAAAGGCAGAGGCCCAACCCACTGAGCCACCCAGGCGCCCCTCACAATCTGATTATTTCATAGATTTAGCTACATAAAAATAAAATATTACAGTTTGGAGTAGATACTAAATAGTGTTTCAAAAATAAACGTATTGGAAGATTTTAGAGAAAAGTAAACTTTTAGAGAATAATCAACAAGTCACTTTTAAATTTTGAGAAAATAAAAAAATGTATTTGCTTCGAACATTTTTATCAAACAAAAACCAACTTTTTTTCTAGAAGAAAAACTTTAAAAATCTGAAATGATGATTATTTAATTAGGTTTAGAAGAAAACTGTTTAATTCCTTTTATCATGTTCTGATCAAAGAAAGTTTCACCAAAATGTATTTTTATCAACTCCTCATTTCCTTGAATTCTAGACCATTTCTTGTTTTGGACAACCTTTGGGTCCTAATTCTTCCCTTCTCCCTGGGAGTTATATTACAACAAAATTCTCTACAGAAAGATTGCTGAACCCTGTTTTTTCCAGTTATATCAGTCAGGGTGTGTTTACCTGCAAGTAACAGAAAACATCAATTCGAATAAACTGAGCGGTACAGAAATGTGTGATCTCACAACAAAAAATAAGGAGTCTCTAGGCATAGTACAGATCTTCCTCACTTTATGATGGTGTTACAACCTGATAAAACCATCATAAACTGTAAATACCATAACTGAAAGTTCATGTAATACACTTAACCTATTCAACATCATAGCTTAGCCTACCCCACCTTAAACATGCTCAGAACACTTATATTAGCTACAGTTGGGCAAAAAGCATCTAACACAAAGCCTATTGTACAATAAGGGTTGAATATCTCATGTATTCATTGAATCTTGTACTGAAAGTGAAAAACAGAATGGTTGCATGGGTACAGAATGGTTGTAAGTATATTGGTTGTTTACCCTTGTGATTGCATGGCCAACTGGGAGCTGTGGTTCATAAACCACACTTTACTTAAATAAATCAATAAGCAAGCAAACAATACAGATACCATATATAGAAGATCAAAAAATAAAGAGTCATGTCTCAGGAGAATGAAGGTGGAAAAGTGAATGTTCCAGAGATGAAAATTACTCTTAGAGAAACACAATCAACTCCCACTTTCCTGGGATTCAGCCCTGGGAATCAGTACCAGTCGTGGACCAGCTGAAATAATCTTGACCATAGCGCCTGAGGACCAAGAGAAAAAGTGACATCATCTGTACAGAACCCTGACCCCAAGGCACATGCAGATTTATTGATTAATGTTCATACCTCTAATTCTATTTGGAAGAATTCCATTTAGAAGCCAAAGATCATTACACTGAAGTCTAGCACACTTTCTTTTGCCTATTTTATTTTATTTATTTATTTTTAAAGATTTTATTTATTTATTTGAGAGAGAGAGAGGGAACACAAGCAGAGGGAATGGGAGAGGGAGAAGCAGGCTTCCCGTAGAGCAGGGAGGCTGATGTGGGGCTCGATCCCAGGACCCTGGGATCATGACCTGAGCTAAAGGCAGATGCTTAATGACTGAGCCACCCAGGTGCCCTCTTTTGATT